CAAAACCTGAATCCGGGACGAATGTCCTGAAAATGACCCCACCTTGAAACGGCAGTGTCGACATAGCACTAACTTCAGAAAACAAAAAGCGATAGTCCTTCTGAAGTGCTTATAGTGTTTAGAAGGGTTGCTCTTAGGGGTGGTCATTGGAAGAAAAAATTTGTCTAAGTAAATATTTCACAAGAAAATGACCATGCACCACCCCAGGTAAATTGCTAATTATGCATAAAATAACTAATATGCCCGGCAGAAATTAAATATTCTTCTTTCCTAAAAAAAAATATCATGGGGTGAAAAACTATGCTTAAGTTAATTTAAATATTGTTGATATCATAAGGATTGTCATTGTTTTCTTTAAATATAATACATTATATTTCACTTACACCCAGAACGATTTCCATAACGTCTTGTTTGCTTTTTATCGCCGAATCTCGCAAATATCATCCAGTTATTGTACTTTTACATAATCATAAATGGCTGAAGAAGATTTCAAAGGTTTCATCCACTTTAGAAACAGTGCAGTGTATTTTATCTTCGATATTGTGTCCTTCGATATTTCGTTAAATTGCCGCCTTTTTAATGACTCGCCGCTTCTCTGCCCGATGAATGCCACTTCTTCGTTTTCATATGAATTTAGATTACATTATCCAGGAGTACTTCATGGTAGATTAGTCCCAATCCAAAAATTGGAAATATTATTTGTATTTGGGAGGAAAAGACCTCCCATAATAGTTGTCCTGTCAGAATTGGGTTACATAACAGGGGGGTGAATATTTTCACGAAACGCTTGTTCGCCACCACAGCAACCTAACTAAATGTATCATTTTTTTGTATTTTTATAATTGATGATAAAAATACGCAAATATTTATTGTTTTTATCATAATCACAAATATACAATAAATATAATTTACTTAGTTAGGTTGCTGTGGCCTGTGTTGGCGAACAAACGTTTCGTGAAAATATTCACCCCCCCCCTGTTATGTAACCCACGAGGTGTTTTCGCGAACTTGCGCGTGACTTTTAAATTACTTCTTTTGAATTTTGACAGGGCAACTATTATGGGAGGTTTTTTCCTCCCAAATACAAATAATATTTCCAATTTTTGGATTCGGACTATTCTACAATGAAGTACTCTTGGTTAATGTAATCTACGTACATATGAAAACGAAGAAGTGTCATTTATCGGGCAGAGAAGCGGCGAGCCATTAAAATGGCGGCAATTTGACGAAATATCGAAGGACACAATATCGAAGATAAAATACACTGCACTGTTTCTAAAGTGGATGCAACCTTCTTTGAAATATTCTTCAACCATTTATGATTATGTAAAAGTGCAATAACTGGATGATATTTGCGAGATTCGGCGATAAAAAGCAAACAAAACCGCAAAATATGGCTGAAATCGTGTTTTCGTGGGGGGTAAGTGAAATAAAATGTATTATATTTGAAGAAAACAATGACAATCCTTATGAAATCAACAATATTTATGTTAAATTAAGCATAGTTTTTCACCGCATGATATTTTTTTTTAGGAAATAAGAATAGTTAATTTCTGCCTGGCATATTAGTTATTTTATGCATAATTAGCAATTTACCTGGGGTGGTGCATGGTCATTTTCTTGTAAAATATTTACTCAGACAAATTTTTTCTTCCAATGACCACCCCTAAAATCAACCCTTCTAAACACTATAAGCACTTCAGAAAGGCTGTCGCTTTTGCTTTTCGAAAATTAGAGCTATGTCGACACTGCCGTTTCAGGGCGGGGTCATTTTCAGGACATTCGTCCCGGATTCAGGTTTTGGCACATATGCCATGTTGACCGCCATGGTCATTTTACCCTAAAACACTTGAGATTACCTGTGCTAAATGAAACGCATACAAACTCATATACAGGTCCTAGACTAAAAGATACATTGAAGATAGACGCTAGTGATTCTGAAATAATCGGAGCTGCCATTTTTGTAGGAAGTTTGTCAATTCCTGAAGCTTTAGTTGCAGCTAGTTTATTTATAGCAATCAAAACCTCGTTAGGTTCAGTTGTTTTGAAAGTATAAACAGTGCTTGTTTCAGGTATGAATTTGTCCAGCTGATCTTGGATAGGTGGAATTTGATGCGCTAAATCATGTCCGACATTTGTGAAATGTTCATTGAATAATTCAGCTATTTCACTGGGTTGTGTATAATTAATGTCATTAATCACGATACTCTCAATTATAGTATTTTTTGATATGTTGCCTAGCATGCTATTTATTATCTTCAAAGTTGCTTTTGAGTTACCTTTACTTGTTTTAATATTCGAGATATAATAATTTCGTTTCGCTTCCAGAATTTTATTGTTTGTTTTATTCTATGCTTTTTGGTAAAGCTCCCAAGTGCGACTAGTTTTAGACACAGTAGCTTTTTTCTTCAAATTATCTCTTTCAAACGTGAGCTTTTTAATGTCAGGAGTAATCCAGGTCACGTCGGACACGTTTTCTTCTTTTAGGTGCGTGAGTATTTAACGTATTTAGAAATAACGTATTCCAAGTCGATAACATCTCATTGGGATCATCAAGTTGTTTAATAATATTATTCCAAAGTTGATTTGAAAAATCATATAAAAAACTTTCAGCGTCAAAATCTTTGTAATTTCTAGTCTCAATGAGTCTGGGCCTTTCACGTTGGGGGCACATTGCGATGAATGGCATAAATTAAATAGTGATCACTTATAGTAATATTAGAAACACCAGTTGTTGTAACTTTATGTGGCATATTTGAAATTAAGTGATCAATTAAGGTACCAGAATTTTCAGTCACACGAGTAGGATTATCGATTAATTGTGTGTACTGGTACTTATCATACAGGGACAGGATAGTAGAGGTTTGAGTATCGATTTCTTTAGCAAGAATATTGCAATTGAAGTCACCTAGTATAATTGATTCTTTATTGCAATCTTCAAGATTTTTAAGCAATTGTTCAAATTTGCTCATAATACTGATTTCAGATGATGGCGGACGATACCAAGTAGTTATAAGGAAAGATTTTTTTCTTGGTTCTTCGATCTCAACTGTTAGTGTTTTGTTGTCAAGTAATATCATATTTCACCAAGTAAACCTTACCGATTATTCTATTTTACCCAATTGCCTCGTTTTCATGTTAAATACTTAAGGCCCTGTTACACGGTGCAATTTTTCATGCAACTTGTCTCGCAATGTTTAAAAAAAGATTTTGATAATGCATTGCAAGAGGTGTTACACGCTGCAATGATCTTCATGCAACTCGCAACGATAGGGGACGAGGCATGCGAAGAGAATAGGGCGAGGCACTATTTGGCGCCAAATTTTAATTAAAGTAAAGCGCGTAATGGGTGAGCCAATAGGAACTCTATACAGGCTATAAACATTGCGAGACAAGTTGCACGAGCCATGTTACACGCTGCAATGCTAAAAATAATTAATGCAATCGTTGCCAAAAGTAGAACCGACTTCTACTCTGTGCAATGCTTCGTGCAACTTGTCTCGCAACGATTTTGACCATTGCAAGGCATGTTAAACGGTGCAATGACTCGTGCAACTTGTCTCGCAACGCCATTGCGAGACAAGTTGCATGAAAAATTGCACCGTGTAACAGGGCCTTTACCCATGTTTTGTGCTTAGTAGGGTTGAAAATAACTTTTTTATTGAGCCTAAATAACAGCAAGAAACAAATTCGTCCAGGAAAACATGGGAATATAATCTTTATCTGCCCCTGACATGCTAAAATAAGTTAACATGGAAACGAAGCAATTGGGTAAAAAAGAATAATCGGTAAAGTCTATCACATAATTTGTTCGAAAATCCAATTAAACAATGTATTACTAGGCCGAACATAACTTCAGCCCCTTCAAATATATCTTTTTCGTTAATTATAGTCTTGTTCGAATCGCAATAAAAAAAGCTATTTAGAGTGTTTTCAAGTCGGAATGTGTATGTTATACACATTCTAAAATAGGCCCCAAAATAGTACGATTCCAGCTGTAAAATTGTTCGACTTGGGCTGTAATCGCACTATTTTTAGCCAATCAGATTGTTCAAATCGCCTATAACCTGAAAATGAATAAAATAAAATGTGTAACATCACTTTGACTAACACTCCACGATTTAGTTCTTTGAATTAAAATCGTTTCTTCGCAACGACCTGAAAATTTTTGGGGCGAACAGTGGCTACAGTTGCATCAGATTCTGAAGGTTCTGTAGTTGGAAGATCTCCTCCATCTGGCAATTCAATCTTGTAACGATGTAATAATGTTGAAGCAAATGTAAACATCATGATCTTTGCCAACGATTGCCCTGGGCATTCTCTACGACCCAAACCAAACGGTGTAAAACCTGGAAGCTTTGACCAACCAATAAACTTTCCAGCAGAATCGAGAAATCGTTCCGGTTTAAATTTATCATGCTCAGGCCATTCTCTTTCATCAAGGTGTACCTTTCTAATATTGAGCACAACTAAACAACCTTTTGGAATATGATAACCGCCAAGAGTGATGTCCCGAATAGCATTTGTCGCTGTCGTTATAACTAAACCCGACACCCTTTCAATTTCACATATAGTCGCCTGCATATATGGCATTTTATCAGCATCAGCCGAAGATGGCAAGCAGCCATTTTCCATTACCGCTCTGTCCAGTTCTTCATGAAGTTTCTTTTGAATATCCTGATGACGCACCATGAACAGGAAAAACCAGGCAAGTGAAGCAGAAGTTGTATCTGCACCTGCAAAAGCGACATCAAGCATTAAATAAGGGATGTCTTCTACTGACCCAATATCTTTGCGTGACTCTTTCGCGTTTTCCTTTTCATAGGCACATATAAAACTGTCAGTGAGGTCGCGAATGACACCAGGAGTGTATGTTTGCTGATGGTATCTGAACTCCGCGGTAAGTAAATCATCCCTTATTTTTTGTGCTCGTTTTATTTCCCGTTGAAATTTCGATGGCAAATACGATAGAAACGGTATCGCTTGATATAATACGCTTATAGCGGGCAATCCAACAAGAGTATCCCCAAAGTTGATTAATGATTTTATTGTGGGATCATTCAATGGTACCCTTCTTGAAGTGAGCCATTCCCATATCTGCGCATATATAGCAGACTCAAATACCTTCTTAGGGGAAAAAGGCTCTGGCCTTTGTGTCTCGATTTCTGCAATCGCTAGGTCAACTGCATGCCTAGCTCGATCTTCCGCTTGGGCGATACCACTTCCAAAAATATGTATTGCTGATTTAAATACTCTTTTGCGAAATAAATATGCCGTAGAAAAATCTGCTACTGCTAAATCGTTTCCCAAAATGTCAGGGAATGGAAACATACTTTTCGCTGATTTTCCGGATAGATCATCGTTTCTCCCGAGCCTTGCATCTCTTATGAGGGAAGAGGTACTGACAACAACAACATTTCCCATGGGAAGCGATAGACTGTATATATCTCCATATTTCTCTGCCAGGTGGCCGAATGGATTTACAGGATCACACATCATATGAGGAATGTTGCCAATGAACGGATAGGGTATGGGCCCCGGTGCACTCTCCTCCGCAGAGTCTGAATTATTTAGGATTTGTAGGGATAGTAAAGGATATTTAGTGGTGCGCGACGGGGGGGTGAGATCGATGGTTGACAAAATGTAATCAAGACTCTGCCATATAATGCGCGTTTCTCGGGTCGATTCTGCGGTTCTCGGGTATGGCTGAAATAAGGCAAGAAAACGACTCGGAAAGCAGCGATGTGGACATTTTAGAAGTTTCCCTTCACAATTTAAGTATCGAGGGTAAGTTGAATGAATTTTATACAATATTTATGTCGCATTTGCCGGTATTGACGGCATGTTTTACATATCTGTATAGCGACAGTATACGTCATAGTATCATGGCTTTGTTATTGTTTTTATCTCTCCCAAAATCAACAAATAAAGTTTAAAATATCATATATGGTACATTGCCAGTAAGAATTATATAAAAGCAGCAAGGATTCACAAAGGATGGCTTAAATATACGACGGATTGATACAAAAGACGTTTGGTTGTAGTCGGCCCATAAAATGGCCGCCTGTATTGTGGTGTGACACTTATCCTTTAATATTTAGATTGAAGATTCTAAGCAGTGTATCCTATATTAAATACTTTATATCTAGATGAAGAAGATGGATGTAATCCAATGGCAAGTACGCCCCAAAAGGATGACAAGAAATAAATGAGTGTGCTCTGAAGTGTCCAAACGCCAAAGTGAACCTGGTCGAAAAAGGCTTCACATATCAACAGTTGACACAGGTTTGTTCTTAGTTTATAATACTGAGTAGTCTCTCTCAATCTACATATTTTCGTAGTGATATATCTAATCTAGAAATAGTCTTAGATTAAATTAAATTTTGGAATTCAAGGCAGCATCTAGCACTATAGTTCAAAGTACTAATAAGTTCATGAAGTTTCTCTTTCACACAACAGTATGACCAGAATTGGAGAATATATAATTATAAAATTATGTTTAATCAATGTTGTATCAGTACACTGTTGGCCAGTAAGCTAGGTTCGGTATGCTTGGCTGCTCGCCCAGCACCCCCCCCCCCCCTAGAGAAATCTTGCCGGATCCACCACTGAACCTTTTAAGAAATGAATGTATTTGAAGTATTTGGATTATTCAATGTTAATGCAATCTCAAAAGAATCAATTGTGATTGGCTAAGAACTACAGACAATCCTCAATGTTTATCCACCTAAAACAACATTGAAAATTGCCTGTTGGTGACATGATTTTTTAATGAGACACCTGACAAGGTTTTCTTTCCTGCCATTATAACATCATCATAATTGCATATTAAAACAATTATTGAATTTGGGTTTCGCATGACATCAAGACCGGTCAATGTTATCTGCCGAAGCCAAAGGTTGAGGTCTGGATAATTCTTGATATCATGCTCATCCTCGTCCAATATGTAATTGTTGAATGTTTTTACAATTGTATCCCATTTTTGTTTCTGCATCTTGCTCTCTCTATTTTACAAATAGAGCCTGACACAAACCTTGCTATCCACTCAAGTATATTTTTGTATAAAGTATCAAATCAAAATGTCCAGGGAGAAATGTCAATTTCATATAAAAACAACAATCTAATTAAAGTTACAACTTGCTAAATATATAATAGTAGTATCATATAATTAGGATTAACCAATATTAACATAGTATTATATAACTAGGATTATCCAATCACAAAGATACATTAAATATGGTCTGATATACTTGTGCTAGAAATAGCCAGTCAGAGCTACATTCAATATTTTGCACCTATATAATATGTCAGTTTGGATAACTCCTGTTTTTTAATTTCTGTAGATATACCTAATTAATCAACTCAAACAGATGCCTTTGTTTTGGCAGCCAGTTGGGACCACAACAATGAACAATGATATCTTTTCTGGATACAAGAGCTTCAATAGCATCAAATAGGCAATTCCAGCTTTTAGTTTATGCCTGCAGGGGATGATGGGAAGTAAGGTATCATAGTGCTGATTATGCTGAAAATTTTCAATAAAAACTACCGAAGCAACCAAAATATTTCAATATTTACAAATATAAGCTATCACTCCGTGTTTACAAGGCCACCATTTTTATTTTTTCAGCATAATCAGCAATGTGATACCTTACTTCCCATCGTCCCTGCACGCATAAACTAAAAGCTGGAATTGCCTATTGTCCTGGTCTAAACTTCCAATGTCCAAGTTCTAGTTTACAGCACCGTCCATTGAAATTCTTTCTGGAGTTGTAGGCAATCTTCCACTTTCAACAGTTTCTCATCAACTTTTGGTAGCAACAGTAGTGGCATCATTGGAACAATTTATATCATTGCCAAATGACACTTTGTATTCTGTGTACATTAGTTCATACTAGATTGACACATCATCCATGGAATTATTCTGTAGAATAATTAAGATATTTGTATGTTACCATAGTCGCTACTATAGGTTCACCTGGCAATCATAATGATAAATCTAATTAATTATTGTTATTTGTTGTTTTAAAATTTCCAAAATGAAAGTTTTGAACTCATTTATTGGGTCGTTCCAGAAAAGATCCACACTCCCCTCACTGAGGAAATTTTTGCAGTGGAGACAAAATTGTTTCTGATAATAGGGGGGGAGGGGTTACAATTCCCTCTCTGGGGGTGGTATGGATGTTTTCTGGAATGACCCATTAGCTTTGCCATGATACAGTATAAAGTAAATCAAATAAACAGACAGACAGACATATAAAGTACAAGTGGCAGGGTTACCGCAACAGAAATTATACTCCCAATAACTGCGGGCCACCTTTGTCTTTGATAATATAAGCTACCAGAGTTCAGTGCATGTAAACATTTCACACAAACATTACAAACCTTGGGTGGTATAAATGGCCATTTATTATGCTACCAAGAAGGCAACAACCTTGCAACAACTAGGTTCATCCAAGAGTTGCAAATTATAAAAAGTACACACTGTGCCAAATCAAGTATATATACACTGGGGACACAGCAATGAATACATACTTTATAGTACACATACTTTGTATTTTTATTCAATCAAAAATAATATATTTAATATTTACATACCGTCTCTAATCGCAGATTCGACAATTGTTTCACTAGTCTCACTACGTGCAGCGTTTCACCCAGAGTGCGTATGCTGTCATTGAATTTCAAGGAGCGATGTTTATTTATATAAACTTTGAAACGTTTCTTCGGTCCAACATCGTCAAAAAACTTCCTCGTTGTTCTCAATGCACTTTGAGCAAACCAATTCACCGCAAACTTTAGGTTTGCATCCTGAAACGGCCTATTTGTCCGCATGAATAATTCATGAGTAATTCAATATTCTTATGTCTGTAATTTGACGCCATTTTGGAAACATTATATGGCAGAGCCTTACGTAGCTTCCGTCTTCCCATCATACCTTGCGTAATTTGTCCTCCCCCTTTAATATTACGCAATTTTACTAAAAATTCGTAAGGCTCTGCGGAGGAGAGTGCTATAAACGTACGTTAAAACTACAATTGTCTCTAACATTTTTATGTATATTATTAATACGTAATAGGATGGTTTCTCGTGTAATATGGATAAAACAAGCACTCGTGAGTTTTTCAAAGACCTCAAATAGCACTCGTCCTTCAGACTCGTGCTATTTTGATGCTCTTTGAAAAACTCACTCGTTCATGTTTTATCCAAATTGCGCTAGAAACCATCCTATTACCTATACGCTAACCACATCTCAAATTAAACATCTACTTATTGTTATGCGGTTATCTAGGAGTAGTTTTACATGGCTAAATGCGCTTTGAAGTCATCAAAATCACCGTTAATCAGGTAAAAAAATTAATTTATGACAATTAACTCATTATTTTCCGAAAAATATTTCAAAGAATTTCAAAAGTTCTTTCAAGTAGAACAAACTAAATTTTCAATGCCATATTCATTCATTACCTTCAAAAATCCAAGCAAATAAATAAGCAATTAATAATCATACTCTTTTAAGCTTTATTTTTTGTTTTAGAGAAAGACATATAATTGGAAGATGTAATCAAAATGTTAACCATGATCTCCCTCGATGAGCCCAGCTCTTGGAGAAAATATTGGGAATAAAATATGTTTAAATAAAAAAAGATGTAATCAAAATGTTCATTATTATTTTACAGCTGATTGTATACATGTACGAATTGTTTTACCACAAATAAATTCGAACAATTACTCAGCCACATTAATGTGTAGCCTATATTAGCAATGCTTAATTCGCAATAGTATTTTCCCACGGTTTCATCGATCGTACGGGAATAAAGCTCATTCACTCTCCAGTGTCTGATAAACAGGTGCTGTCTCATCCTCCAGTGTTTGATATAAAGGCCCGGCATCATTTCCTGTTTCCTTGTCTTCGTTAGCATCCGTTGCCGTATTCTTATTTTTGATAACTGTGTCTTGATAGGCGTTACCTCTAACCGGCGCTCGCTGTACAGCCGACTTGATATCGTCAGTTTTTGCATAATCATACTCCAATTCCTCCGAAGGTGGCGCTGGTTTACTTTTCTGTTCGACTTTAGCGTAGTCGTATTCATGATCACCACCAGGTTCGTACAAGTCGCACTCTTGCGAGGCCGCATTGGCATTCCCATCTGGTTCTTGGTATATCCCGCCGTCGTTTGACAAGGAAGGGTTTTTGTTATCTGCTGAGGAATAGATAGGATTCATTGTATCTCCAGATGATTTGCCTGTCATGATAAGGAAAAGAAAATTCAATTAATAATTTAACGGTTTGTTAAAAATAATATTGCGTATTATGTATGAATGGCATGCGGTGAATGGAGTAGGAAACTGCGCGAGTAATAGGAACATCGTATATGTGCTCGAATAATTTTAATGCAAAATACTTGCTAGAATGTTGGGGTTTGGTCCAAATTATGCCAGAAACATTGATTACTTTTGTTTCAGATCTTTCTAGAAATTATATATTGGATTAAAAGCGAGAAAAATTAGCTCAGTGAGCATCTAGCCTGCTGTTGCGTAGAAAGTAATAACTTCATACCTTTACCGTTAATTTCCACATTAGAGGAATTTTTTCCTGAACGACTGAAAGCAAAATCACATAAGAGAGATTAAATAATATCAAGAAATTTAGCAAGAAGATGCAACAATAATGCCGTTATAAGAAAATATGGAGGCGATACGCTGCAATTGTTGATTACAGGTTAGTGCATTATGTCGGTACTACTACTACTACTGTATGATCAAGATTTTGACTTGAGCATCTCGCTCGCTCGAACTAACAGTTGAAACTTGAAGGGTTTTTGTGCATGGAAATTCCGAGCGGAAGATTATATCTATATATATAGACCTCACCAACAGCTGCTCCTGGTTACGTCTAAAATTGTTTATAATTTCCGCTGGAAATTTCCGTCAACAAAAAACCTTCAACTGCTAGCTACTGTATGACTGTTATCCCCGAGCCGGCGGCGCGAAGCGCCGTGCGAGGGCACTAATTCCGCACGGCTAATTATACCCGGGTATGTGAAAACATAGCGGAGTGCAAAGTTGTCCTCCATTTTGTTTATGTCATGGACGGTTCTCGACGTTATGCGCATGCGCGAATACAAAATCTGTCGCAGTAAATTGCTGTTCATTTTGAAAGGACGTATTTTGCTGTTTTACAAGCAATTTTTTGTTTTACATTTCGTTAAAAAGTTTAAGAAAGTACAGCACTTTCTTTTCCTCGATTTTAACTGGAAATAAGCCTGCAGTTTCATGAATTAGTGGCTGTTCAACCGTGAAACAAAGTTTGTATAATAATTGTTTTGATGTTTTGATGTTGATATCTTTGATAATTTAATCGTTGTTGTGCCGGTTTGGGTAAGTGTAAACATTTCGTAGTAAAATGCCATGCCGTACTTGCTTTGTGTTTTCGGTTTTATTCATATCTGCGAAATTTTTAAGCCATTCTTAACTCGATAATTCACTTGCAGTGAATGTTATCGTTCATTATAAAGCTAGCGCATCAAGGCATCAGTTGTGTTTTTGTGTTTGTTTATAATGGTCTTAATACTTTATGTGGGGTTTTTATACTTCATCTGTTAAGAAAGGCGAGGGGTTGCCGCATGCATGTATTCTCTAGTTTATACACAAAATTATGTTCATTACAATACATTACGCATGATTTAAGCCCTCATGCATGCAAACGAGAATATAACATCCAAGTGAGGGTTTGCATTATAGTTAAGTTTCATGCTTTCAGGTTTGAGGGTTCGCTATAGGTTATGTTTTCGCCTGGGTTTAAATCAACCTCGTTCCCAGGGCTTCAGTATGAGGACGAGGCGAGACACGAGGAAGCCCTGGTCTGGGCCGGTCACGTGACGACAAAAAATGGCAGTATTTGACAGCTACTCGTCAAGGAGTGGCGAGATATTCTTTAGTGAAATATACAAGTCTTCGAAACAAATAAATAGCCAAAAGACTTCTCAATCGATATTATTTATGTGTAGAGCGAAGTTTGGCATGAATCAGCTGAAATCTATGAAGATCCCGTCTATCAGTTTCTAAAATATACCGATATTTCAGGCAAACTGCATCCAAGCTGCATCTAGGCGTCTCCATGCAAGTGGTGATTCACACGAAATTTCCTTTCTCTCGTCTTGAACAATATGGTTATTGCTATAATTAATATTTAGTTTAAATATGCTCTTATAGATCTGACTTAGTTCAATGTAAATAAACACAAATATAAAACCTCGCGTAACCTGTTTACGCTGTACAGGAATATACGGAGTCGCTTGTTTCGCCGGACACCAACACTTGCCGTTCAGGAGCAATGCTTGCCTACAAATTTTATCCCCTTCACAATCTTTGTTTTATTTTATCGTATAGTCGCAATTTTCAAGTATTCGGGGTATTCTGAAACTGTAAAACTCGGTGGCGTGCGAATCTTGTAGAGACTACAGTACATCGGCCTAGCTTCCTCGTGTCTCGCCTCGTCCTCACACTGAAGCCCTGGGAACGAGGTTGGGTTTAAATATGTGTGTATTTGTGGTATTATATACGAAAACTTATTAACACAAAAACTTGTGGGCTTAATGGCACACTCTAGGCCAAGGACAATCGATTAATTTAAATTTTGGTTCAATTCGGAAAAAAATTGGATGAGAAATTAACAAACGTTTCTCCTGCTTTCCCGGACAGAGAAAACAAAATACGAAATTAGTCTGTTTATGCGCAGTACACTCGCTGGCAGAGGTCCTCTAGCTAATACTATATAGAAGCCAAACACTTGTGGTTATTTTTAATTGTAATTTGATCAATCTATGTGGGATCGGAATTAATGAAAATGTTACAATTTAATTTAATTTAATTTATATTGTGTGCAGTATAAAAACTGAGACTTCAATTAAAGCTAACATATAGTGGGAAGTATTCTTTGCGATACCTTGCATTTAATAAATATATAAAACATTTTCCAATCACCTCGCCTTCGGCGAATAATTGTTAATTATTTTCAAGGTGTTGTTTTAATCCCCCTTGAAAGGATTTTTAGGGGGTTAAAAAATTTGAGCTCTTTTAACTCCAATATTAGGATTAAAATAACACCCTTTGAGGGGTTAAAAACTTTGGCGAGCAGATTCTAAGAGTGTAAAACTTTTTAACTCCGATATGCATTGGGGGTAAAATAACACCCTTTGAGGGGTTAAAAACTTTGGCGAGCGAATTGTAGGGCTGCATACTCGATTTTTTTTTTCAAAACAAAGGCAATTTAATAAGGCACTATTTCAAATCGTATAAGAGCACAAATTCGCTAATATTTTGGTCTTTGAGATTCATAATATTAAGAAAAATAAGCATGGATATAGGCAATGAATTTTTCGGCTTATTCTGACCGTAAGTTCATGCTAGAATATACAACGAATGTTTTTGTTTCAAAATCCAAGACAGAATTAAACATCGACAAAATATATTGTAGTTTCTGTTCGAAACTTTCCATTCTCTTTTAATTTGCTTGTGTATAGCCATGTACTAGACAGCAAAATTTAATATTACATTTATGATAGTTTCTGTTGGATTTTTGTTTTCAAAAAGCAAAGGAATTCAAGGCACTTTTTCAAAACATACAAATTCATTAATATATTGTTGTCTTCGATAAGGCCAAGTAAAAAAAACTTATGTTTCTCGTCCGGATTTCTGCCAAAAAGCAGGGAAGCCGGGCATTTTTTTTTCTTAGCCAAAGAAAAATACACGCAATATTAAAAACGTGAATTATAAAAGGCTTTTAAAGTATTAACTTTTTTAATGTCTCGTATTTGAACAGCGTTGAATTTGGTCAGCGGACAGGATTTTGAATGAGCCCGCAGTAGTTCCAGATTAATACTTCAAGTTAGCTTCAAGTTATCAAAAAGAAAGTTAAAAAACATGAAGCGAAATTTGTAGAGGAAAACCAGCAAAAAGAAGGAAGCGGCTAAGAAAATGGAAGCGGGCGGGGACGAGAAATTAAACATATATATTTTTTTACTTGGCCTAACAGTAAGATAAATAGGCAATGAATATGAAAGGAGTTTTTCGATTTATTCTGACAACAGGCAGTAACGAGGGCAGTATAAAGCTAAAAAAATACAAATATACAAAGTATAAAGCTCAAAATATTAACAAGTTTGTTTGTGTTTCAACTCGGATTGCTTTTTCTGTCTTATCAAACCTAAATCGTACGAACTAAACGTTCAACAGTCAGTTGACAATGTTATAGTTTTTGTTCAAAACATGCCTTTTGCCTTGTAAAAAATGTAAAATATTTAAAGAAACTTACCGAATCTCGACGTTTTCACAAAAGGGCTTTAAGCAACAAGAACAGATATGGACAAACACTAAAAGTTTAGCAGTCCGTATATCGCCCTTTTTTGTCAAGTTTTAATCAACGAATTTCACAAAAACAATCTTCACATAGTCTGTTTCCGCAACATAAATACAATAAATTTCATTCTCATTCAAGGTAAGCAAGGTTAATTAGCTCATTTGTCTAGGTCACAGTGTGTGCAGGTGCCTGAGTAACTCTTGAAGATCGTAGGTTCAATTTCTGGATGCTGTAAAACACGGCCAAACAATTGCAAAACCAGTTTGAAAAGTAATTTCGCAAGCCAAAGTTGTCACCCCAGGCCCCTAAGCCCGATTTAAGGGACAAGACTTTTAACCCCCGAAATGGTGTTAAATTTTAACCCCGAAATGGTGTTAAATTTTAACGCAGAATTATGGTGTTATTTTAACCCCCCAAAATCCATAGAATGGAAATTGTATGGACCTTTATTGGAAATAAAATGGATTTTTGATTATCCATAATAATTGTATATTTCCATACTATGGATATAGTATCGAAACAGTGTGGACATACCATGGATTTAGTGGTGCAATTGCAAATCGCATAGTATGGATTTCACATATTTTCCCAGTGTAAAGGCCCTGTCACACTATTTCGTGTCGTACTAGCGTATGCCAGCGTATGAAAAATATCACTCATACGCCGGTATACGCTGACATACGCTGGGGGTACGTTAGGCACAGGTTTTATACGTTTCAAGCACGATTGCATACGGTGGCATACGCTGGCATACGGCGAGGCAGAAAATTTTTAGGCATGCTCAAAATTTTTGTGCGTATTCGGACGTATGGTTTATACGATAAGCATACTCTAGGCACACGCTGAATACGCTAGAAGTACGCCAGATGTACGGTATACTCATATGCTGGCATTTCAAAGGATTTTTGTGCGTATTTGAAAATTATTTCATTAATTTTCATACGCTTCTCATACGTTTCTCTCATACGCAATAGTGTGACAGGGCCTTATAACCGAGCGCGAGCAGGTATAGTGTTTCTCAGTCTGTGTTGCAGGTAAAGGTGAGTTTGGGGAGAGGCCTCCCTTTTTAACAGTTAGTACTGATAATTACAGATGTCAGGAACTCATTCAATAACTGTTTATAAGAAGGCTTTCTAATTGACACATCCCAAAAATACAACAAGACAGGCGTTTAAGAGCGACTGTCCGTAAAAATCGAGCAAAATTTGAATTCTGCGGCAATACACGAAAAATAGATTTCGTT